GAAAGCAAAGAGGATGGGGAGAGCATAGGTGATTGGACAATCTCATTCTAGTCATGATTTTGATACTCCCAGTGTAGTAATTTTGTGCTTATCAGACATAAATTTGAAATAGGTATGAATCTTTATCAGGAGTTTCTGCTAACATTAAACTGAGAACTTTCAGCAAGCCATGTACGGATGTTTTTAGCTAAAACTAACTAAATAATGCAAAGGTTTCTAAAAAATTCTACAGAAATCACAATCTTAAATCTTTTAGAATGCCATTAAATATTTTGAATATATTACAATATTTACAAAGGATTTATGGTAGAAAGATTCTGCAAGTTTATATCATACAAAAAGAACCTGCACTATTATCTGACAGGATTAACCCTAATCTCATCCTGCTAGGAGTGAGGGGGAAGGAAAGCATGGCTATGCAGTAAATTGCCATTTGGAGGTAAAAAAGCGTTCCGAGTGCCTATCTCCAGTAGGCCACGTTTTCCTACTCCAAATGGACACTTTAATGTTGCCAGCCAAGCCTTGGTCCCTTTCCTGATAAGCTATTTCTCAAATATGAATGTACATTAATCCTCTCTTTAATAAGCATTAACTCAGCCCAGATAATAAGAGTATAAAAATTCCATCCAATATTTTAGTGGTACTTGGATAGTTTTGTCAAATAATGTATATCTTAGAAACAGTTTTAAAAGCTATGCTTGAATTGTTTAATGTTTCATAATTTGCTCACTCAATTGTTAATATTTATTGAGTTTCATAAAATCTGTTGTCTACAGAGGTAATAGTCATAAAATAAAATCACCTTTTTAAAAGTAAAAATATATTTATTACATTAAAAATTTGATGCTTTAAAATTATGAATAAGAAAATGAGCAACATAAATTTGAAAGGAATCATGTAACCTTCATGTGGATTATAATACAGATATATAAAATACATGAACATATATGTTTCATATAATATATATATATATATGTGTATATATATATATTATATAGAATCCTCATGAATGCTACATGGATTTTATTTAAATTTATGCTGTTCATTTTTCTATTTATGAACACTGTTTTACATATGATCAAACATTTACTCCAGTTTCAAAAATAACCTAATATTTTCTGCCAAAATCTCTTTAAAATCTCATTTCACCCTTTAACAACTAGGTTGGTAAATTATTATAGCAAGTCAGGGATGTCAGGTGCAGTGACAACAGGACTCTTAGTGCTCAAATGAAGATTAAGATAAATAACATTGCATGTTGCCCTGGAAAAATCTAAAATGACTTCATGGAGAATATGAGATCTGAGGATGCTTTTTCAAATGTAGATGCCCTTCTTTGCACCACATGGAAACCTGTAGTGCATATTTGTTTTTGAAGAATTTAAATAAAGGATAAAGAGGAAAAAATGAATAGAAAGTTAGTGTGTTACATTGCCCTGGGGAAATCTCTAATTTCTACTATGTAAAGAAGCAAAACATGTTCAGCGAAATTCTCTCAGGTCATTTAAAGGTACAAGTTTGCATTTGATTCTTGATAGTTGTCTTTATAATCTAAAGTGTTAAACTGCGAGTGTTCTCTGATAAATATGTTAAACCTGACATATAAGAAAAATATCAATACTGAGGGGCAGGTTTTCTTTCCTTTCCTTCTAAGCATTCAAATACAGTTTTTCACATGACGGAGAGTCAAAGAAGAGCAGCAATAACAGTCCCTGAATAAGTTTTTGCCTAAAAAGAATGAGTGGGAGACATCCTGCAAGAGTAAGAATTTCCAACCTGAAAGGTATTTACATGTCTCCCCACTAGTTAAAATCCCCCCTATTATACCTCTAGTGGAGATGAAGAGACTTGGAAAGGAGCAGGAAAAGGGGAGTGCTGAAGTCAAATTCTACCTACAGTGCAATTCTACTCAGATCGGTCCAGCTTCATTAAAATACATGTTTCTTAATATGTGTAAGGTTTCAGATATTTAAGTATAATATTATGTCACACTTAGGGCTTGAAATAAAGGAAGTATCTTATAATGCAAATTAATTTAAATAAGTATCCAGAATTTTATTTGGAAAAATTATTTTGCTATCATGTCAACAATAAAGTTTTGAGATTATACAGACATTACAATGTAGTGAAAAAGTAGAAATGTTAGGCTTTTCATCTTGCAAGTAAAATCTCATTTTCTTGTGAAATTTATGATCCCCAGAGAAATGTTTATGAAAATAAAAATATAAACAGAACCAGTACAGAACTTATTCAATATAATTTTATAACACACTTCAGAGAAAAATAGCCCTGTGTGAAATCTCTGTGCTCTTAAAATAGATCATTAGCTCGTGCATGAAATATCAGAATTTAAACCCATGAAAAATATATATTGCATTAATCATTCTTATTTAAAATCCCCATATTCTTTACATAGTATAAGGGCAAGAATGAACACTTTAACAGGTACAGGATAGGCTATTTCTGGAGGGAAATGTGTAAAAAATATCAGCAAGTCAGATATGCAATGCTAGGTACCTGTGGTTTCAATTTTCATTTGCTTCTCACATACAAGAAAGGAACAGCAGTTGCTGGAAGGCAAATTACTAGTTGAAGGTGAATCCATTCTGAGAGACAGCCATCTATCAATTAAGTATAAAGGTTTTGAAAGGCTGCTTTCTGGTTTGGCCTTATTCCAAAATATATGAAGGGCATACACCTTCTGAGTTGGCAGTTCTTCTGCACGCAGATGGATATCAGTCACTATGAGAAATGCTAATAGTAAATGGACTATTCTTGTCAAGCTCAAAGACCAACAGAAATTTTCAAATCAAATACATAGATTTTGCAAAAAACAACAACAAAAAACACAACCTGCTGTTAAAAAAAGAAAAAGAAGGAAAAAATATCTGACATAATTTTACTGAAGCATAAACCTACTAATTATGAGAGCTTTGTTATTTATGAGGCATGAGTGAATGAAGAAGGGTAGAAAGTAAAACTGCCGCACTGCACTGAAGTGACTAGTGTAGTCAATACTTTAATGTTTTCACCAAAGCTAAGCAAAGGGATAACCACAAAGTAGTCCTTGAATGAAATCTGTTCTTCCATATGCTTTACAAGACTTACTAGTATATGAAGGTGTCACAGAGATAAAATGTAACATTGTAAGTGATTAAACACATGGGTTGATAGTACCTTCCAGGAATGAAGGTGGAGCACTGCATTGCAAATCAAGAAGGTACATTAAAGTATCATCAAGGTTCAAGACTGACACTCAGCAGTTACTGCCTGCCATCCCTTTCTGCAAAGAATCTCTCATTGGTGTGGTGGGTCGGCTCTCAAAGCATAAGCAAGACTGAGTGAGCAATCAATAACAAAGATAGCAGATCACAAAGCGTGGAAGCCCCTTTCCAATGGAGACACTACAATACTTTCTCTAGTGCTGGGGATTATTCTATCCAGTAAGTAATAACCTTATTTTCATAAGATATGAACATGAGCCACAATGTTATAATCAAATGATCATATTTAAATGCTGTAAAATAACTGACCAGACAACAAGTGGGTGCTGTGATTTTTCATTTTCAATATTTAGACATTCTCAGCAGTTTAGAAGTCTACAAACTACAGCAGCTTATAAGCTTAATAAGCAATGAAACTCTTGTCAAAATCAGTTATTAAGGTATTTATGCTTCTTACCAAGGTTATAGAAGACTAGGAGCCCAGCGCAGCCCACCCACCTGCAGCCCTGCCTTCACACCCAAACCTGTCCACGCAGAGCTCCAGCACACCTGGCCCAGCCCACAAACCCTCTGGACTTCTCTGGCCCCCTCAAGCCCCACATTTAGTCCCTTGAGTGGCCTCAGGCTCATCCTGCCTTCTCTGGCTGCCTCCCCACTTCTGCCCCATCTCCCTGGCAGGTGGGCCGCAGGGCACTCAGAGTGTGAGCGGTGGGTGGCGAAGGACTGGTGAGGGGGGTGCTATGCGCTCTCACCCCTGCCCTCCCCAGCACGAGATGGTCCTGCCTCCTCCGGGAGGGGCTCCTCCCCACTTCTGCCCATCTCCAGAGAAACACCCCAGCTAATATGCTAATGACCCGGTCATTACCCGTTATGGTGTATCAACTATTAGCATATTAGCTCTTTATTAGTATAGATTGAATAAAATTTCTCAAAAAATTCTAAAGTGTTTGTAGAATAATGTTAAATCAAAATTGTTAGCTTATAAATTCTAAAAGTGTAAAATACAGTGAGACAATTTCTTTGATTGTTGTTAGATAAAACATTTAAAATGAATTGCAGTCAAAATTGTTATTAAGTTTCATTACTGAGTTCATTCTTTTAGTCACTGACAATAATTCTCTCTCTCTCTCTTTCTCTCTCTCTCTCTCTCTCTCTCATCTTGGAAATATTTTAAAGCCCACAATTTTGAAAACCTTGAAATTCTGTTTTGGATTCTAAAACAAAACATCTTTTCAGGCAGGTAGAACACATAGGACCTTCTTTTTCTTCTGCTGCTTCTTTTCCTTCTCCTTTCTAAAATGCTGATTCATCACCTTGAACCAGACATCTATTTAAGTGACTAGTGAATCCTTAATTCATGCATCACCAGTCTTATTAATTCTGTCAAGACTTTTTTCCTGAGCATTTTAGTAATCCTCTTGCCTAAATACAATCTCAAGGAACAGCTTCATAGCATGCAAAGTCTGTGTATTTCTGTGTTTTGAAGAACTAGTTGAAAAAAATGGTTAAGCATTTATCATTGTGCACTCTTGTTATGCTTCATTGAAAATTCAAGCAAAAAGATTGCCTTATGGTCATAATGTGATATACTGAATAGCAATGCATTAAAGCATGTCGTTTATAATTGCATTTTGCAGAACAGATGTTTAAAACAAGCCAAAAAGATTCTTTCATTCATTCACTCTTCTAGTATTCCATCCCATTCCATTCCATTCTTTCTCATTTCAACACATTCCTAAAGATAAGAGGTTTTCTTGGCTGGAAATAGTCTCTTACCAGCATAATTACTGAGTCCCTTTCTCTTCTTTCTTCGCCAATACAACCAGATGCTAAAACCCATCAAAATTACCCAGCAGGCACCACCAATCCCAGCTATAAAGGCTGGTTGCTTCACAACATCAGTGATTTGCTCAGTTATGCTGTTATTGTTTTCAGTAATGACAACTTCATTACGTCCGCCTATGGAAGAAACAATAGTTTTAGTAAATATTAATACAAAAACAAACACAACAATACACATGGTGCTCTAAAGCCACACACACACAAAAAAATAGAAAATTCCTTTGAAAGCAAGTAATAGTGGTTGTGTCCTGAACCTGTCACAATTATTGATAAGAATATTTTATAAGTTACAGAAGAATAATTAAATCATGAGTTTGAAATGTGATTTAAAACATTGCTAATCAGTAAAGAAAATAAATTAAACAAAATCCCCACATTGCTCTCTTATGATTGGTTTACTATTATGAATAATTCAGAACTGCTTCTCGGTTTACCACCTTATAAATGAGTACTAAAACAATTACTAGGGGTTGAAATAATGGCAACTTTTCTTCAGTTAGGTAAAGAGTCCTTTAATGTAGTTTCATACAATAAAAAAATGCAACTGCCACATTCAGCACAGCGTCTTTGCAAATTCTCTTTCCTTTACAGCATGGTCCAAATTCAAATGTTCATGATTCAGAAATATGGGACTTAATACTGTCTTTAATATCATACCAAGGAACTTACTTTGGTCAAACCACTTAATTTTCTGGAATGTATTAAAATCAATGCATAAAACAATGACGATTATGTAAACATCCTTTCATAAAGATTAGTATTTATAATTAAAATGTCATGAAAAGATAAAACTTGTATATTACCGTAAATTATATGAAACTAACTTGAAAATCCACTTAAAAGTTGAGCTCAAAGGACAACTTGAAATATAATTCTAAGGTCTACATAAGTAAAGCATACATTTAAACCTGGACTAAGATTATTCTAGAAGTAGTAGTCACATTTTTGATAATCTAGACCTCTCAGAGGTAATTTTAAAAGTCTTAATCCACATTTTTAAATAGGCATAATCATAATATCACTGAAGAACAAAGATGTAGGTGTTTAACAGATTAAGAAATTTAAACACTGAGAATTAAGTGATTTTTCTTCTTTAAGGTTTTATTTTAATAGCTTTATTGATGCATAATAAACATATAATAAACTGACATATATAAAGTAGTAATTTAATTGTTTTGACATATGCATACAGGCCTGAAACCATTACTATTATCAAGATAATGAATATATCCTTTGGTCCCCAAAGTTTCCTCCTGCCCATTTATTATCCCTCCTTTCAACCTCTCCATGCTAACTCCCAGGCAAACACTGATCTGTCATTGTAGATTATCTTTTTTTCCTAGATTTTTATATACATGGAATTATACAGTATGTACTTTGTTTTATCTGGCTTTCTCAGCACAATTATTTTGAGATTCATCTATGTTGCTGTGTGTAGTTTATTCTATTTTATTACTAAGAGGTATTTCACTTGTGGTATGTAAATACTACAACTTGGAATCAAATGTTCATATAAAGACTAATACATGAATATTTGTAAAAGCTTTGTTTGTGATAGCCTAAACCCGTGGTTGGCAAACTGCGGCTCGAGAGCCACATGCGGCTCTTTGGCCCCTTGAGTGTGGCTCTTCCTAAGACTTAGTAGTACCCTAATTAAGTTAATAACAATGTACCTACCTATATAGTTTAAGTTTAAAAAATTTGGCTCTCAAAAGAAATTTCAATCGTTGTACCATTGATATTTGGCTCTGTTGACTAATGAGTTTGCCAACCACTGGAACTGATTCCAATGTCAATATTATACCTTATTAGTGACTAATCAAATCCTATTTATAAGTAAATTATAATCCAAATATAAATGGCAAATTTTAGCATATCTTATCAAAGGAATGTATAATTTTTATTAGTTATCATGGCACTGAAATATATTAGAAAGATCATGGACTTTGAGGTTCTGTATTTGAATACCATCTCTGCCACTTACTAGCTAAGTAAGCAGTGAGCTTCTGCAGGGCACTTAAATTATTTGAGAACCAGTTTTTGTTCGTTGGCAATAGCGCCTTCTATTTATGAGGGTTGTTTAGATGTTTCATGTAAAGAGGTTAATAGAAACACAGTAGTTTGTGACTCAAAATTATGGCCTACTTAAGGTTAAAGTTTATTTTAAGAGCCACTCAGGTAACTTCAAGGATGTAAGTTGTAAACTGTCTAGATGTGAGAGTCCTGCAAACCACAGGTGACTTGTTTATTGCAGTTTCTCTTTTATTCCAAATAAGAAAATCAGCCCACAATACCCAGACTGCCTTATAGTTGAGTGTAACAAAGTGAATGCGTATTGGCCAATGATACATGGGCACAAGTGATGCATATTAGGTACTACCTTCAGACTTGACCCGTAGGTTGTGACAATACTTAGGGGATATCGCCTCCTTAAGAGATGGGAGAGCCATTAACTGGAAAGACTGAAATATCCTGAATAACTGTATAAAATCTGCTACCCCATTTTAGACTGGGCTATAAATAAGAAAGAAACCTGTCATTTGTTAAGCCAATCAGAATGCAGGCTTCTCTGTTATAGCAGCTAGCCTTTTTTATACGTACTTTTATTTCATTTCTAAAATGTCTTTTGTGTTTAATTTAAGACAAAATACAGTTCACTTATATAGTTAGTAAACCTGGTTCATGTTCCCAATTTATCTGCCCTTAATTATTTTATATATAAATATCGTCAAAATGTATTTAAAATGAGCTCATATTTTCAATATGAGACATAGGTATATCTGGTGATTTATTTTAGCTACTAAAGAGAAAATAATACCTCACAGAACGAAGAGAAAAGAACATTTCTTCATTTGTGTAAAAGGTTAATAAAATATCATATTTAATATAGTGCAATATTTGTTACCATAGGTGTATTACTTATCCTTATGCTGCTATTTTTGAAACAATGTTGTCAGTTGCACTAATTATAGCATAGAGAAATTGTTGTGTGTGACCTGTAATGCTCCATTGTTCTTGCAGACAAAAAAGTTATAGTGAAATATAATGTCTTCCTTCTATTGGAGAGTAATGAAGAACAAAACTAATTTGTTTCACTAAAAATTAATTAGACACATCAGATTCAAGAGTACCTATTATTGTGAAAGTTTGCACCTGTTCCATGTATTATTACCAACTATGTAAGATAAGTGTGAAATGATCAAATGATTAAAGAAATACTAGCTATATTATAAAGCACAATTACTAAAAATTTTAAGTCAATGTCACATTGTTATAAGGCATACTGTCGGATGCTTATGTATATAAATGCATTTGGTAGCATTTGTGTGTTTGTGAGTGCACCAATATATAGAACTATGGACACATTGATGTAAAAGTCATCTTACCAGTGAAAGCTACATACAAAAGACCAATTTTACTTTTAAGCCTGTGTAAGACTGTTTATTATGTTTACACAACATTTTAATTGATGGCCTCTTAATGGAATTTTCTGGAATGAAAACTAAACTGAGAAGGAATAGATGAAACAGTACATGGTCTGGCATAAGACAAATCTGAATTTAACAGCTATAAATTACATCAAATGTCAATACATGACTTAATTAAAGTAGAAGGAAAATGAGGTAGAGCTTGAGTCACTTTAAGTGCTGTTTCCAGTGCTACACAGACAATAGGAGAAGCATAAATTGAAACAGAACAGAAAGTTAAACATCGCAATAACTTTCAACCAAGGGATAACAGTTGTGTAGATAAGATTATCAGACAAGATGTTAAGGTAGATATGCAGCGGTAATTAAAGAAACAATTAAGGACTTCTTTAGTACAACAGTATTTATTAAAAAGAAATAAGACTATTGGGGACAACTAGCCTTTTCTGGGTTGAATTTTGCTTGCTGTATGTGTGTGAATATGGGTGTGTGCATGTGTTTTCATTTCAAGTGAAAAAATATTCCATTTTCTGTGATTACAATTGGAATATTGCATATTCTACCTATTGAATGAGAGATAAAACTATCATTAAGGAGGTTACTTTTATTTCATAGAAAGATTCTAACATCTTTGCATGATACATGAAACTATAAATTAAAAGATACACATTTTGCATTTAAAGACTTAGTTTTCTTAAAATAATGAGTTAAGTGAAACTTTCCTTTTGATTTAACATAATTGTATATTCACTTTATCGTTTTCAATTCCTATACATTCATTAATTTCTTAACTGTCATGACATGAACATGGTAAAATGATATGCTTGCAATTATTTACTTGCCTCACAGTGTTATAAATCCCCAAAATATTGGGGAGCAAACAGGTAGTCACTATAAAACAATAACAAAACGTTGCCATGCTTGAAAATTATATTTATAACTAAAGATTATAGAAAAATAAAAAGGAAAATATAGATATTCAATCTTCTTGATCTTTAGTTAAACAATTATATTCAATCCATTTTATATATGTGCTAGAGAGATAGTACAAAAATGAAAACAAGGTTCGTTTAGTCTTCTAGGAGCTCTCATAGAAAACTACATCTTTTAAATGTGTCTCATATCTAAATTAAGTTAAGAATTAACTTATTTCTAAATACTATAAATGGAATATATATGTCAGTTAAATTCTTTTGGGTGTACCTGTATTTCTTTCTGAGTCCAATTTATTAAAAAAAAATCTCAGAAAGGCAAGATTGTAGGTTTCCCTCAGGTTAAGAAATTAATTCAGTCTGTATGACTAATTAAAAAAGGAAAGGCAATTTAGAGGAAAGTTAGTACTATAACTTTTTCTCTTCAATTCCTTTTTATATATAAGAAGGGAAACTTGGAGAATCTAAAAAAAAAAAAAAAGGTACCACTACAATGGAGAATCTAAAAAAAATGTATCACTACAAAGGAATGCTAAATCTCTTCAGATACAATAAATACTTTGTAATAAGGAATGTAATCAGAAATGAGCAGTATGCTCTCTGTGCATCATTTCAAAAAATAAACAGAAGACAATGGAATGACAAATTGGCTTGCATCAAACGCTAGACAGTGTTTTTAAAATATATAAATTCTTGGTAGGATATTTTTTAAAAGTTAAAGATTATGACAAGCAAATAAAAGCAGGGAGAACTGGAG